GGCATTGGTGTTTTACAAATTAATAAATCACATTTGACTGAATAAGGTATATTCATAAGGGTGTGGGGTGTTTGGGTTTTTTTTCCTTTTTTTTTGAGGGTCGAATTAAGTTCGAAAGGACAGAATACATATAGCATGATAGATTTCTAGAATGGGAAAACACAATACTTGTTTGTGGAAGCATTTGGAGGCAGAGGACAGCAGGAAAATTCTATCTGCACTGTATGTGGTAGCTAATGAAAAGCTAAGTTGATTAATCATATCTACAGTGTGTTTTCAAACTCTGCATGTGTATACATATATAGGAAATACTGTGAGGGTGTTTTTTTTTAGCCATTAATGGCTTATCTTTCTGAATGCCAGTGCTGTAGGCTGTATCTGTCCAAAATGCAAATGTCTGTGCAGGTGCTTTGGATGTTTTAATTTGCAGTTCAATCAAAGGGAAAAGGAAGGAACAATTCTAGAGGTAATTAATTTTTAAGTGATCCCAAAACAATATGTTTCAAAACAGATTCAACTCAAGTGAAAAATATGAATAGCTCTGGTGGATTTGGGAGAAGATGCACGGATTTTATCTGGCAAGACAGCAAGCAGGTGCTGCCTAAAATAGGACTAGTGGTGGTGCTGCAGCACTTCTGATGTCTCTGCTAAAACTGTAGTGAAGTAAAAATATTTATGGATAACAGGGGCTGAGAAGTGGTAAGGCAAGTGAGAAACTGGTAGCAATAAATTGGCAATCATGAAATGCATTGCTAATAAAACAGATATCTACTAATGGAAAAGTGTGTGGTTATAATGTTTAAAGATAGGGCAAAATTTTAGGTATGTATGGGAAGAATAAGAAATCAGTATTACAGATGCGTATGTGGATAAGTGTTGCTCTTGTCAAATATTTCTGTTCCATGCTTGAGGATAATATTTTTCTTGGCACATTCTAATGATTCCTAAATACTTTTTGATCTGGTAGTAACCAGGGAAGATGCAGAACATTGATTGTTCATTTCAAAAGCTTCTTAATGTGCGAGTTTTGATAGCTACCTGGTGAGTTTTCAGAGAATTGACCAAAGAATGAACAGAACTATTGGATTAGGTATTGAATGATGCTCAAGGTGCTAGCGAAGTTCATCATGACAGGAAAAAAGTAGTGTGCTGTTGCTTATATGGGTAAGTGAAATGGTCTTCACTGGCATTGATTGTGAAGGAATGTGTTGAGCAGCTGCATGATGTTGCATGTAACTGATACACAATTAAAGGATGGTGCTGTGATCCGTGCCACTTGATGAGACTTCATGTAGATATGTACTGCCAAATTTATCTCAAATGATACGTAGCTGACTCTAATGGTCAGAAATATATGCAAGTCTCTTAAGGCATCTGACATCCTCCTGCAAGGTTTTGATTACAGTAGAAATGTTATGGACCTGATGCAGTGCGTAAAATGGATTTCAGTCGCACTCAGCAAAAGTAAGTGCAAGACATCATCAGAAAATACTGTTGATTTGTGGGTTTGTGCTGGGTTTTTTGGGGGGTCAGGGGTGATTATGCATCTATTCTTGACATGATGCTACTCACATCTTTTTAAATTTAGAAGACAGCAAGCATTGTAAGGAAGTGCTAAAAAAGAGCAGTGTGGGTTTAGACTAGATATCAGGAGGCTCTTCACTATGAGGGTGGTGAGACACTGGCACAGGTTGCCCAGAGAGGTGATGGAAGTCCCATCCCTGGAAGTTTTTAAGGCCAGGCTGGATGGGGCTCTGAGCAGCCTGATCTAGTGGGAGATGTCCCTGCCCATGGCAGGGGGGTTGGACTAGATGACCTTTAAATGTTCCTTCCATCCCAACACATTCTAAGTACTCAAGTAATATGTATCCAATGGTGAGACACTTCTAGAAACTAACTTTGATCATTTGCTAGGCTGCATTCATTTGAGCGAAGTGCATTTTAACAGGGCTCAGTGGAAAGTCACAGCTAGGAGCTATGAATATAGGTCACTCAGGATAGGAGACTATATTTTGGAAAGCATCGACTCTGAAAATGATTTGGAGCTCTGATGTATTACCAGTTGAGCATGAAATTGCAGTACAATGAAGTGGCTTATGGAATAAAGGCTATCTTTGGGTAGCTTAGCAGGGTTATGTTATTACCACTGTGTAGTATTAGATGGACAGTTACGGGAATGTTATGTTCTGTTCTGGGCACTTTTTAAAAACAACACTGCCAAGCTGGAAAAATAGTAAGACAGCCAGTGAATGGCTATAGCTCTGGCTGGCACAACGTACTGAAACTAAAAAAAACAACGTGATAAAGTATGTGATTAGCATTTACATTTCTGTGTTGTATAAAATGTTTGAAAGAAGACTCCTTTAACTGGCAGAAAGAGAACATTAGATTCAGTAGCCGAAAACAAAATTAGACAATTTTTTTCTAGATTTCTTTTGTTATTTTGGGTAAGGTGTTTTTTCGGGGTGTGCGTTTTGTTTTGTTATACTCAGGGTGTAGAAATTACTTGCTTGGGAATGCAATGGGGTTTTGTAACGTCTTCAAAGTCTTGGTGTGCTTTCAGGTGAGGTGTCTAGCTCATCCAGAAGTTATGGACTTGGAGAAATTTCCTGGGCTGTGTTTTAGATGAGAATGAGTTGAATGATTGTAGGGATTCCTCTAAGGGAAATGCAGCTAGGGAATGAGGAAGGAGTGAGAGAAATTGGGAAGGAGTTACTGTGGTGAAAAGTTGAGTCAGTCCCTTGACCACAGCTGGCCTGGGGACCTGTTACTGGGTCCCATCCTTCCCGAGGGTTCAGGCTCAGCTAGAAAAAAAGTAGGAGACTTTACGATGCTTGTATAAGGAATGATGGAGCAACACTCGTGCAGTGGGAAGAGACTGGATTTGGTGCACTTGGGATCCACTGTTACCATTGCTTCGCTTTCAGTTTTGGATCTGGAAAAACTTTGTTTACTCACATGCTTCTTGCTCATTGCCCTCTACTTTCCAAGTGCCTGTCTTGCTTTCCCTCATCCCCTTTGTCTTAGTTTGCTCGTGTTCCTGTTGTCACCTTTGCTTTTGTCTCGAACCAGTCTGTGCGTCCCAGCTCTTGCTTCATCCATAAGGCTCTGCTTGTGTTGGTTATGTTGCATGAAGACCCGTGTCTTAGGCTTGTTTGGAATGTTGCTTATTGGAAAAACCAGCAGTCCTAACGGCTTTGCGTCATTCTTTAGAAATCAGTAGTTCAGAATTATGTACAATAGTTCAGGAATTGTGTACAGAGGTAACTTTTGGTTTCTTTGTAATTTTTCTGTGAAGTTTACCATCTCTTTTAAAGCAATTTACTTTGCCCAGTTACAGCACAAAGCAAGTGGAGCTCTGTTTCCTTCGGCAGTCCCGTACGTACAGAGCTGTTGACCTGAGCTGTTCCCTGCTTTTGAGAGATCAGAATCACTTCTAAAAGGCTTCTCAGAGTGCTTGATCAATGCTTTTTATTTTCTTTTTAATCCCTCTTGTTTGTCTTTATTTGCCAAACTTGATACACATTTCAGGAAAGCAAAATGAAAAGTGTGGTCTTTGGTTTAGCAAACTTTGAAAGTTTTGTCTTTCATTAAAATGTGTTGACTGCTTTTGGACATGCTTGTCATCTAGGTACTTTTGTAATTTAGCCTGTTGAAGTTCTATGAATACTAATTGCCTGCTTCTTGAATTTGGTCTTCTGAAATGAACTCAGCTTTATAAATTAACTTAGTCCAAAACCCATCAAAATGCTCATTCTCTTTGTAGCTTTTGAAAACATCTTTTAGTATTCTTCCACATGCTGGTTTGTCTCTGGCCTATGGGATTTATTCGCAGTGTCTAGTCATCCTGTATAATACCATATATCCTGTCAGCAGTGGGTTACTTCCTTTTTCATTGCAGAATAAATTAATGGGGATATATGTTTTTTAATTAAAAAAAAATACAGTAGCCTGTGGCTGATAACATAGTTTCTAATGCTTGTGATTATCACTGTGAGCAATTATTATTTTTTTCTCTATGTAAGCATCTTAGCAATGCATATTTCCCCCCGTCCCGGTGAGATTAGTTAGAAAAAGTCTTCAGCTCACAAAATGTGTAGTCTATGCCTGTGAAGCATCTGGAAGAAGTGAAATGTTAAGCTTGCATTGTTCTCAGAAGGAAGAGTAGTTCTCCTGAGATGCAAAATTGTTTAACTTCATGGTGTATATTCTTAACACAACTTGCTGGCTTAGGGAGTGCCTTACTCTTTAAATAGGAGATAAGGAGAAGTTCACATAACTTTTGTACGGCCTCTGAAATTTTGGTCAGGAAGCTTTTCTGTAGTTAGCTGAACTTTCTGGGAAATACTACTTTTGTCACCTCTGATCCTAGGTGCATGTGTTACCGTTACAGTTTTCCTCATGTTTTCCTGACCTGTGAAGCGTTTCTCCTGTGCTTCCCTGGGTCTCAGACGCTGCTGCCAGGTGGATGATTTGCAGGAGGAACTGCATGCCAATGTATATATTGCATTTAAGTGTTCAAAACCTTCCTTTCTGCAAAGTGGGCTCCCATGAGCTCTGTTGTCCTTCCTTGGCCAGGCTGCTCGACTGGTGCTGCTGACTGGGAGACGCTGCTTTTTTGCACGGAGCTGGTTCTGCATAATGAAGCTTTTCTAATGGTTGTGTGACAAATGGGGGGTGCTGCTGGGTGAGGAGTGTGGGCATACATCTGTAGCCTGTATTACTGGTCTTTAATGAAATCTCTGGAGTGGTAAATTCATGCCTACTGGATTTTCTCGTGTTACTTAAATTGGGGGATAGACAGAACTGTACTGGTTCACAGCACAGACTTCAAGCGTAGCTCTGATGTGCAGTAAAGGAGTGCTTAGATTTTCCTGGAGTTATTGGATAGTTTCTTAACAGTATTGAGCGTTTTTGGGTTAAACATGTGAATGAGGATGAGAAAAACAGAATAGAATTCATGATTATTTGTTTTTAAAAAGCAATTTATTTCCCTCTAGATCGTAAAAACACTCAAAGCACTACAGGATTTGGATATGTCACTGGATATTCTAGTGGTAAGTGACAGATTCTAGTGGTAAGTGACAGATAATACATTAAACTCTCCAACAGTGAATTACCATGCAATCATAGAAGCAGTGAACATGTTGCATTTTGTAATTTTTACTCCTAGTCATGATTTGTTTAGAGCTCTGTACAGGGAACCACACAGCCTTTTCCAAAAGCAAGCTTGAAACTGGGCGTACAGCTTGACAATTGCAATATTATGCCAACGGTGATAGCACTGAGCAGGACTCTGAGCATATAGAGAATACTTTGCTACTCAGAGTTGGTTTCTTTTCACTGGAAAGCTTTCAAGTCAATGACTAAGACAAAGGCAATGTAAATGAACTATTTTTTAAGTCACTTGTCTAAGACTTCTTTTATGAGCAGCTCAAGGTTAGTTTCTTGCATTTAAAGAGCAGGCTTCCCAAGTAAAGGATGGTTGTGACCTGTGTCTCTCTTCAAGCTGCATCCTGTAACATTTTATATTAGAAATTATCATACTGGTTTATGAAGCTTCTGGTTATTATGAGCAATGCATCTGTGTTTTGAGAAGAAAAATGTGAAGTTTGTGAGAGAATTCTTTGAGAAATGAGATAAAAGTATGGCAATTTAAGATATTTCACAGGCTTGTTCAGGCAGAGGCATTTGCTTGCCTAAATATAGGTAGACTTCTACTGGAATACAGCAATATTTTTGTATTTTTATTAAGAAACAAAATAATCTCGTGCTGCATTTAATAGTTTAAAATGACAGAGGGCTTCCGCAGACAACTCATATTCCCAGCAAACATGCATGTTTTTTAACGTGACAGACTTTGATGGAAGCTTCAAGTCAAATAGAGGAAAGAGATATAATAAAGCACTCCACGTATTTTAAATGTTTGAAGAAAAACATACATAGTTTTAGGAGACACTCCCACCAAATTTTTTGACTCTGTTTGCAATACACTGACCTACCAAACCAGTATTGCTCAAGTTATATAGAAGCTAAATATTCTTAAGATGAATTTAAGGAAGTCCTTTCTAAGATGTGAGCAGATTATGTGGGATTAGCACGTGTATAGGTCTTGCTCTGGCTTCACAGGAGTATCATTTCTCTAGTTAGCAAAGCATTACTAGGTTGCTGCTAGTCTAGGGTTTGCATGCATCTTAAAAGTAAGAGTTTGTGAGTACTGAGAATAAGGGAGTTTAAAAAAAATCACCTATGATTATCTTACGGACTTTTGAGTGTCTATAAAGTTATGCTTAAACAAAAGAACTCAAAAGCAAATCTTGAAGACATGATGTGAAAATAACTGTACTGTGGGAAACAAAAAAGGCAGGTTAAAAATGTCAAGTGTTTTTGTTTGTTTGTTTTCTTTTTTTTCCTGTGACTGAAACTGAGATTGGGGTTAGTTGTATGAATTCTGCTCTTCTGATCCCTCTACCATATGCTACTCCTGGTTGAGATGCATTTTAGATACGGTATGTCCATCATATGTGTTCTTTATCATGCTAATACCTGCATATGCCTAAAGGGAATTTAAATTGATGAACCTGTCTCACTGGAACACTGTGCATTTTGTGGGCATAAACTTTTGAGCCAAGTGAAATTCCTAAAAATGTACAATTAATGGGGGAAGATGACTTCTCTTAGTTTTATGAATTAAGACCGTGTTTTGTTCCCCATATTTGGTTATAAATATCTATCTTTCCATCACTTCTGTCTGCATATAAATAGTGCATTTATTTCTTTAGCTGCCATGAGGCTGCTTTCACTACTAGGTTAATGCTGTTTGTAGCAGTTTTAGAGAAGGTTTTGTTTGGGATTTTAGTCGCGATTTATTCTCCCCATCTTTCTTGCATTATCTTCAACAGGAAACTGGCATAGGCAAAACAGTTAACAGTTTTAGGAAACATGCCGCTGCTGGCCATGTGGCTAAAACCCTGGTAAAACAATGGAAAAAACTTTTTCTTCCAGAAAATAAAAGGTAGGTGTGAGCTAATTTTTTTCTACAAGTCAGTTATACTGTAGTGTAACATCATAAAATACAGCTTGGGAAGTGTAG